AAAAAAACAAACAAAAAAACCCCAAACAATTCTCATCAAACCGACAAGCCCGTTTCTTTTCACATCGTATTGTTTGTAGCAGGTGATAGGTTTCAGTGTACGTGTTGCACAAGCAGAGCAGAAGTTATGTGGCTTCTTCCGAACAGCTTGTTGATTTAGTGGTTTAAGTCACATCAGGGATAAGATGTAGTCGCCTCTCGTTTTCCTTTTCAAAGGGAAAACTCATCGCACACAACCTGTCTCGATGCTGTTAAGTTTACCTCTGGCGATATTGTCGAAGCTACTAGTGACACTGCTGCCTTTATGGGATGGCTGTCGCTTTGGTTGGTCTCATTCACTGCAGTGAAAAGTGGTTACTGCGTACATAGCCGCAGAAATTCGAAGTGCTTTGAAAAGGTTTATGAAAAACACCCGCAACTGATTAAAAGGCTGCGGGAAAAATGGTTATTAAAGTTTCTTCAGTAATTTGTACTTCACTGAAAGGCACACCTTATCACTTGAACAGGTCGGTAGTCTCTTTTCAAGTTCTCAAAAAATATTTTCAGTTAGTGGGTGCAATTTATAAGCTTCCACTTTTTAATGTTTATTTCTCCCTTTCTCTGCATAAGGATTGCAGTGATTGTGGGTTTACATGGTAGCTTGAATACTGTGGTGCCAAATACCTCATTAGTTCTTAAAAAAACCTAGCTCTCATGTATATGAAAAGTAGCAATAAGTGCTGTTCTGGGTCTTGAAAATATCTAGTAGGAAAACAGAAAATAATAAGGCTCAATACAGAGATGTTTAAGAACATAAGAAATGTTCCATGGTGTCTTTCTTTTAGCGATGAGGCATATGGAAGCTGTTACTGGAATTTTTTCTTCTGCCAAAATGTTACTGGAGGTGCAGACTAATAGAAGAGCATTTATGTAAGAAAGCTATGCAAGTCTTACCATCCAAGATTGTAACTCCTGCCTTGTCTTCTGTCTGTTTCAGTGAAAGAAGCTGGAAGAGACTTTACCTATTTTGTTGTGGTGCTTGTTGGAATTGGTGTTACAGGTTATTTTTAAAAACTACATTCTTTATCAGAAAACACTTTGCATTAATTCCATCTGGTTTGATTTTCGTTCCATTTGCTATTGTTTCTGTTACAGGTGGTTTGTTCTATGTGATTTTCAAAGAGCTATTCTCTTCTTCTAGTCCAAGTAAGATCTACGGAGATGCCTTGGAGAAATGCAGATCTCACCCTGAGGTTGGTTTTTGAACCTTAGTCATAAGTTTATGTTTCTCAGTAGTTACTGCCCCTCTTTGAGTCAAAAGTTTGCACAAGGAATCTCACAAGCAAAGCTACAGGAAGACCTACATGGCACTTAGCAGGCAAACACCAGCAGATCTGGCTATGCTTTTAGCTGACCAGAGGTGGGTCAGCTCCAAATCGGAGCTTATATTAGGACAAGTTAAGGCAAGCGCTGAGCCTGAGTGAATTAGCCTGCTAAAAGCCAAGTTCAGTGATTGTACCACAGCACGACTGGTGCAAATACAGTGTCTGCCCCTTCAGAACGTGTGCTTGTGTCCCCAGGCAGAAAGTCTTAAAGACATACCTGAGTGCCTACTAAATGTAGCACTTAAGGAGTTCTGCAGGTCGGGGAGGCAGGTGGTCCCACTGAAGTTTTGTAGATCTGGCCTGCTGCCTTTCCTCAGCACTATTATTCTGTTGTGACACTTCACTAGGGTTCTGTCATTCTTCGAAGCACTGCGTGAATATCCAGGAATTTAAACTCTTCATTTGAAACACAGTTAGCATTCCTGTGGCTAACAGGAAAAGCGACAGAGAACAGTCATATGACCAGACAGTCACATAAGATAGCTAGATGTAAACAAAGATCAATCTAAAACTAGATTCTAAAAACTGCTACTTAGGGTGAAACAAGAAATGCATGGAATAGCTTTCAAACAAGGTTGCCACAGATGCCACTGAGGATAACCTGGAAATTAAGTGACAGGTTGTCAGTAGAATAAAAATGAAGACTGCTTTGGAACAAGTTTGTAGAATTAAAACTTTTCTCTGGTACTTATACAGTAAAAATCACCCTCCCTTTCTAACCAACTTTAAGTTTAAAATAGATTAATTTGGTCTGGCTTTATAGATCTGGAAAAAAAAAAAAGAAAAATCTGATTTCTTAAACAGAGGTGTTTTTTAGATAATGTAGAGTGCATTTGCATTTTAAACTTTGAAATATTCTCTTGGAGGAGATGAGCAAATATTTCATGGTTATTTTTTTTCCCTTTTTACACAAAATGTCAGTAAAGTGTAAAACACAAAGAGGGATTAAAATGTCATAATCTCAGAGGACAGTACAAATGGAAGATATTCTTAGGATTTATTTTAGACATTTAATATGTGACTGTAAAGAAAAGCACTGAAATACGGACGAGTTTTCCTTACACTGTTTTCTTTCATAAACTCTTCTATTCTTGACACATCAGACTCACAAGGGGCATTTTGTTGAAAGAAAATGCATTCACAGCAGGGGCATGAGCTGATACTGGAATATCTGTTTGAATGCGATACCTTCTGACAACTCAAACCTCTTTTCTCTTGTAGATAATTGGTGTTTTTGGTGAATCTATTAAAGGTTACGGGGAGGCAACAAGAAGAGGAAGACGACAGCTTGTCAGGTGCCCTTTGGTGTTTGCCCGATACAGACAGTTTTTGCACAGCAAAGACATTTTGGGTCACATCACAGCAAGTTAGATCTAGATTAATGAACTGTATGTGATGTACCCTGTCACTTTTGAGTGAAAATGAAAGCAGTTTTTTGCAGTATCTCTTGTGTGGCACGTACCACTAAATACAGTGCACATCCAACATAAAATGCCTATTCTGAGTGCCTCAAAACAAGCAATGGTCAGCACGGTAAATGCAGAGCTGGTGTCTCCAAAAAATAGGACGAGTCTGAAAAGAGTAGTACAGAGGCCTAGGCATGCTGCTGGGGAGCAGGGATCTGACTGAAGTTTGCAGTCTGAAACCCTCAAATAGACTGAAGTTGTTCTTCAAAAAGTTGTTTTTCTCCTTTTGAAGCGGTAGTTTTTATCAGGCCAGAAAGAGCGGGAGGTGCTAACTTTCAGAGTTTCGAGAATCCAGCTTGCTCTGCTTAAAGCTGAGCTGTGTCTGACTGTACAGGTTGTAGTCACTGAGGTGACTGCATTGTCCCAAGCTGATAGGCGGTACTGACTGCTTATTTCTTATATTGCTTTTTGATACTTGAGGCCACATCTCTACTGTGAGTTTAACAGAACATCTCTCGCCTAAACCTTTCATGAGTGTGTCTATTTATTCTCCTTTTGGGGGAAACAGAACTAATTCTTACAAAATGTAAGTCCTCCCTGCACGATAACATGACAGGGGCTTTGTCTTTGTTGGGTTCTTTGACTTGAATTTATTCAAGGAGGTTTCATACCAGATGAGACACATAAGCCCAGGTACAGAACTTGAACCATGAAATTGAGAATTTTTTTTCCAAGAAAGGTGATTTTTACTGGTGGAAGTTTATTTTTTCACCAGACTCTGTGAATAAGTGTTTAAAGTGGAGCTGCTAAATGAAAAGAGTATGCACAGATGTTTTAAGCATCTGTCTGTAAAACAAACTATGTAAATAAGTAAATGTACTGTCAGCTTTCCTAGTATTTAATTTCCATCACTTTGGAAGTCTAGTGTTTTAAATAAATTTTTTGAGCTTGAGGACTTCGTAAGATTATAGAGTTTGTGTCTACAGTATAGGGATGACCTTAAATGTCTCAAAAATGTACAGATTTTTTTTGTGTATGAACACCTTGAATGTGAATTTACTGTAGTAAGGATCTTCATTCATTCATCTTTGTTCTCTGTAACCTATCATGTCACCTTAAACTGTATTGGAAGTTTGATGCACAGTGTGTGCCTGGGCGTGACTGATGGAAATAAGAGCTTGGTAGTATGCAGCAGTTAGTAATTTCAGTAGAAAACATAAAATGGCACCAGAACTCTTGTTGGACCGTGAGTTTCTGGAATTGGTCGCATTGAAAGTGATGTGACCTTTCTGTTTGTCTAATACGTGAGCATAACCTAACTCCAGCCTAAATATGAGTTTCTGGAAGTGGTCGCCTTGAAAGTGATGTGACCTTTCTGTTTGTCTAATACGTGAGCATAACCTAACTCCAGCCTAAATATCAACATTTAGGTTGGAGATCTGGTATCAGTGCCACAGTTACACAACTTCAGTAGAGCAAAATTACTGCCAAAATAAATAAAGCAGATACTAAACTGTTTGTTTTGATGTGATTTAACCAACCTGATAATTAAGTTGACAAAATACTCTTTGTGTGTTTTGGCTTGGTAACTTAACTGCCTAAAAAAACCCCTGGCAGTTCTTGGTGACGTGAGTGTTCCTTTCTAGGTGTCAGGCCCTGAATCTGGGGGTTCTTTAAAATAAATACAAGGAAATTCCAGAATCTTCAGCCATTGGGTTGCTGTTGAGTTTTGAAAGGAGGACTGGGGTGAAGACGTTGAAGCACTTCATCTGTTTTAATCCTCAGCTGCTCATTGGTTCTTCTAACTCTGCTAGTCCTTACACGCTCACAGTAAAGCTTGAGAAGAGCAGTAGAGAAGGAACCCATGGTAGCCTAAGGACTGCATCAGAATACACTTTCTCACAAAATAGTTAAGCAGCTCCTTTAAATAAGAAGTTTAAATTTGAAGTCCAACTAGCATATAATACGTATCCTTGCTGGGTGGGCTGGGGTTTTGTTTTGTTTTGCTGTTTTTAGTCACATCGAATACGTAAAGGATGGACTGAAACATATGCGTTTGAAGTTCTATATCGAGGGCTCTGAACCAGGGAAGCGAGGAACAGTCCATGTGGAAGTCAAAGAGGTTCGTGCAATTGCTTGATATAGCTGACAAGCTTAATCTTGAATTTAAACTACCAAACAGAAAAAAACAGCCTGAAATTGTTTTTCCTTACAGAACCCTGAGAGAGGAAGATTTGAGGTCCGCTACATATTTGTGGATGTTGACACCTATCCTAGAAGAACCATTGTCATCGAAGACAACAGATAGCCAATGATCAAAGTTGCTTCCTCATCGCGTTGAGTGTTGGATGATACTGGTGTAGCCAGTCTACACGTGAATTGTTTGGTGTTCTCGATTGTATCTTGCAACTTCGGGGTTGCGTTGCAGGAAGTAGCCTCTCAGGGCCTCCATTCGGGTCTTTCATAATGACGCATACGGGATTTGAAGTGAAGCCAATGAAATATAGTAGAGCCATCATTTACAGCAAATACTTTTGACATAGGAAAATAATGGCCCATAATAAACAGTTTAATATTGGATAATACTTTTGCACACCCAAAAACAGAGTCTTCCAAGATTTTAGGTTTGGATGGGGAGTTTTTTGTCTTCCTTTGCTTGGATTTCCCACTAGCACTACAATAAAGAAAGTGGTACTTTAAGTGTAGACAAACTCACTGTTTTCATTCTGGATGCCTTTGTAGATAAGAAGATAAAAGAAGAATGTATGTTAGTAATGCAAAGGAGATCTAGCCCAAAGGCACGTAGGATAGGAGTTGTGGAGACACGCACCCATGACAAATGACTGAAGATAAAAACTTCATTATTGGTGTCTTCTAAATAAATTAACAGCACACAGAACAGCAGTACTGTCTGCTCCTTTGAACATTTGCCATGCTACTCCACAGTGTTGTAGCTGCTGAGCACTGCTCTCAGTATTTCTATTAACTTAACCAATCTAAATCTTCCGGGAGTCAGATTCATGTAGGTTTGCCCAAGCTCAGAAGCTCAACTCATGACCAATTTCTCACCTGCATTTCTTCCTTAGTGCAGCGTGGCAGATAGGAAGCATAACGCTGTGTATTAATAATCAGACTCAGTTGTCCTGATCTGTCAAGCAGCACCAACCAAAATATTTCAAGCTTTAGCTTCTTTTAACCACTTAAACACCAACTAATGCGTTTTTCTGTAGTTACCTATCCTATGTTCCTTCACTAGTGAATTATCCCTACATTAAGCACACACTGATGTTTAGCTATCAGCCTTTATTCTGAGTTCATTTAATGGTACGTTTGGACTGTTCTGCACTTCATACAATGTTCCCTCGTACAATGCCGCAAATACCATATACAGACCTTTAGTAATACGTTACTGGACTTGAGCCATCCTGTTCATCTGTCTCCTGGTAATTTCATTTGCATAATCATAACAACTAAACATAATACTAGTTAGACCTGGGTAAGTTTGCTTTATATTAATCACTACAACCTTGACTTCAGTCAGACCCTCATATTGTTTGAAATCACTCGGTGATGAGGAATCGCATGTTCGTCCTGGTTGTGTGAGCAGAGCAGAGTAACCACACGTTACTGCAGAGCAGCCACCAGTGTCAGTCTGTGTTAAGCTGGAAGGCATTTTGGAGGTTCTACACCAGATACAAAGTAACTGACTTCTACTGCTCGGACCAAAGAGATTTTTACAAAACTTCAAACATCAGTTGAGATTGACTGAAATGATTTCATATCCATTAGTTCCAGCAGAGCTGAAATTGTAAGTTTGCTTTCTTTCATCCCTCAGTGAATGCTTGCCAAGAGTAACAAGCCCACAGGTTTACGTATAGTCAAAAGCAATGGAAGTCCGTGTTGGTGTAAGTATGAGAAATTGTGGTACTTGATATCCTCACCATGAAGTAACTTTGATAAACTTATTTTTACCTACAGTTACTGACATCGTTAATGTCCATCTGGAAAGGTGTCTTTAAATAATGAAAGCAATTGACTCCCATTGTTCTTCATGTTATTTTCTTGAAAGCGGTAGAGTCAGTAATACCTTTTGACTTACGCTTATGACTCTTCCTAATTGTTAGCAGTATGCTTGCCCAAACTTTTGTTTCAGAAGACATTTTCAAACCAACCTAATAGATTTATAACCCAGGTAAAAACCAGAAAATACCGGAGGCCCTCATCGTTTCATTGCAACCTGCTGCAGCACTGACTGACAGCATTACGAACCAGGTCCCTATGTCCAGTTGCTATAAGCCTGTGCCATACCATGGTGGTTACTGAAAACCATCTCTGCAAGAGTTTTGTCATGAATGCAAGACGGAGCATGTTTGTCAGAGCACATCAGAAATACTGCAAGCTATATAAGTTTATAATTTAATGCTAAGATTACTATCCTTAAGCCCATACTTAGACCTTGATAAAAATGTAATCGTTCTTCACCTTTTACAAAGCAGGACTATAAAAATACACAGTTTGAACTAGAAAATGTAATACTATTTTTGCCTGACCTTTCTGAGTTTCTACTGTATTGAGCTGCCTGGAAGCCATTGTAAACCTCCATGTCACCAACAGAACTGACAGGCTAGGTTTTTTCCTGTAACTCTGCGTCCCAGCTTTGCTGCCTTACTAATCCAGCTGTGGCTTGTTTTCAGTGGGCTTCCCTGCTGGAGCAAGGAGTACTTCCTAAAGCAGGATGTAAAAACCATTTTTTTATAGTAAATGGTACAGGTACAGCAAAGAGGACAGCCATTAGGTTTACTTTTGTCTTGTTTTAGAGCCCTGTTTGAACTGCAGAAAGAAACTGGACTGGAAGCTTTCTGGGAAAGAAAAGATGATGACCTCAGCTAATGATGTTTTTCCAACAGTTCAGGTATGTCAAATTCCATGTCAGGCTTGTGGTAAAACAGCAAGAATTGGCCATTGGGGTTAATGTGTGTGTTAGCTTCAGCTTGAGAAGAATTTGATTATTTGCAACCAGATTTGTTTACAAGTTTTTTCAGTAACAAGGACTTCCTTACATACACGGAAATATAATGTATTTCAAGGGTTGTGTGAAAGAACCATTTGGACATCAAATCCGTGATTGTTTGGTCCCTTTGGGACATCAGAAGTTTTGAAGTTGTCTGTTAAGCTGTCGGTACCATAGTTCTTGCATTAAGTGCAGGGCCATACTTTGGCATTAGTGTCAGACCTCACCGTCGTGCTCCCCAGCTGGGAGTAAATGCTACAGTTACAGGTGTCGGAGGAAGTCTTGGCAAGGTCAACATAACGATTCTGTCTGGCCCTTTGGCAACCAGTCTGGACCCCTATGAGAAAAAATGGGGACAGACCAAAACTGGCAGTAAGGAAGAGACATGAGTATCATTTAAAAGACACAGGTGGATGTGGAGCCATCCACAGTGCAACTGATCTTCACGACTTCTCCACCATCCTATGACTGTCTAAAAGCAAAGTACAAACCTCTGGTCCATGCATTCCATTTCAAGAAACTGGGGAACCCAGAGAAACCAGTCAGGGGATTACTTTCAAGTTTATTTTTTATTAGGGTAGCCCCAATATGACAAGGTTATAAATAAAATGTTTCTGATCCTGTACTTACACGGAGTGCACTGTTTGTGTTTTCACAACTTGTCTTTCTCCTGTGGAGATGCAGGAGAGCGGGTGGGTGAGCAGACTTGCTCAAAGCAGCAGGACACACGGCCGTAGTGGCACCCTCCGTATACTTCCTAACAAACAAAACCTCTCTCAGGCTGGAAAGAAGCTGCAGTGGAGGAGTATATCGTATATAAATCATCTTTGTATATCATCCTGCTTTGTAAAGAGCAGAATACTAGAGAGGCAGGGTAATATTTTGCTTCTTAAAAGTGGAAGAATAGAATTGCCATTGCAAATGTAAAATTAGAACTATCTCCAGGAACTGCTGATTGCTCTTTCCTAACTAAAGTTTAACCCTCTTTTATTTTATTTGAATCTCAGGAACGTAGCGAGTCAGTCAGCCTCCTGCCAGGTGGGAAGGGGCACAGAGCCCTCTCGGGGTGCCTTCAGTCACCCTCGTTGCTGAAGTTGCATTACGCACCCTGTCGTGGTTAGATCTAAAAGTTACCGATGAGGGGACCTGTAATACTTGCAGCCCTACCTCTGACGGTCGCCTTGCCTCTCGACCACCTCCCTCAACATCATCACCCCCCCAGAGAAAAAGGAGAAAGAGCTCAGCACCCGGAATTGCCTTCTGACATTCACAGTGACATGGGCTGTGCCCCTGGATGAATTCTGGAACACAGGTGGGCTTTTTACCGTGCAGGGCTAGTTACTCTCCTCTTGGTCAAAGACCACAGAAATGGAGGGGATTTTTAGCTCTAGAAACATTCTCCTGTAATTTCAGGAGAACATTTGGTATTTCCTTTAAAGCTGCCTTTTCTGTGCAATAACTGAAGTGCCCAGGAAGCAGCGTACTCCGTCAGTGTACTTTGTTTTCAAGCCCCGATGCAAAAATGCTAGCTAAATGCAACAGTAAGAGAGATGGGCATACACGCACAAAATGTTCACAAAGCCAAATGGTAGTGAGATCTTCACTGGTGTCTCCTTAAGAAAACTATCTAGCCTTAAATATCATTACCTTCAAAACATTCCGAAAAACACAATATTCCATTTAAATTTCTCTCCCTCCCATCTTGTCTATGTCTGGAAGTAGTATTTATCAGGATGTGTCCTCAGTTTATAAAGAGCTCCTCATGGGTTTTTTTTCTACTGCCTGCATCACCTCGCTAGCTAAATGGATATGTAAGTGTATTTATATTTCTTGAATAGGGGGACGCAACTCTTAAGGACACCACTTTTCCTGCTTTGTGAAAAAGCTGACAATATACTTGATAAAATGAAGGCAAAATAAAAAGTAGCAGAAGGAATCCACCTTAAGAATTAGCACTCTTAATTTGGACAAATGACAAATACAAGGCTCAAATGCTTTCAAATCCAAGTGGAGAAAAGCTTTGGGGAATCCTTTTTCTAGTAAAATCTCTTCAGTGAAGAAAAGAAAAACAAAGGAATTTCATAGCTTGATTTATTATCCTCCTCCTAGCTCGATACCTATCACCAGCAAGATTATTTAAACCCTATGAGATTTCAAGGGTATTGAAGGTTTGTATGTATGTAGTTTGGCTGGAGAAAAATAAGTTAAATGGCTCTTACGGCTCTTGCTAACACAGAAGTCTTGTGGGACCTAGCTCCTTCTTTCCATATTCCTTGTGAGGCTGAAGTTCGTTTGGT